AGAGAGAGAGAGAGAGAGAGAGAGAGAGAGAGAGAGAGAGAGAGAGAGAGAGAGAGAGAGAGAGAGAGGAATGGAGCCCTCAGACTCCTTATGCTATCTTATTTTTTTTCCTACATTTTTGTTCTGTGGGCAAAGTCACAACAGGTAAATCATTCGAGAATGAAGAGCAGTGATGAGCCAATCAGTCAATAACGATGTCCCAGTGTACAATAATTGTATGTCCAGTGATGATCAGCCATTTCACTGTCCAGACTCAGAAGTCAATTTCGGACTATTATCACCCTTGCTCCCTCCTCTCTTCAAGCCCAACGCTTAATATAACAACAGTATCAACATTCGTTTGCAGCACGCACCCGGCTGCACGCCGAGTTTCGGCACTGCACTTCGTTCTTGGCCCTCCAGTCTTCATCTGGGGGGTCAGGATTGAGCTGGGTGATTTTGCTGCCAATTCTCAGTTCACCACTAAATAGATATCCTTGAATCGTGGAGGAGTCCTGTGGCTTGTTTTGTATCGCGATGCTTCCCTCGACTTCTTTGTGTTTGGATGTCAGAGATTGAAATCTGGCGGCTTCTTCTGAAACCACTCTCCAACACCATGGGAAAAGAAAAAGCACAGCTAGACAGGGCTAAAACAAAAAACGGCCAACCCGGCGCAATGCAGCAAGCCCGGGCAAAAAGGAAAGGGCCAGAGGGAAGCAAAGTCACCACAGGAGGTCAAAAAGAGAAGTGGCCAACTTGGTGGCGTGAAGGGAAGGAGCTGAACCCAAGCATCAATGAGAGCAAACCGGATCATTCAACACTCGCTCCCCATGTGAATCCAAACGCACACATAGACAGATGAGTCCGTGAAAGTCCGACAAAACAGAGTGGCACAGTGATGCCTCGTTTTGTGACATGACAACACACACAAACAGATGTACAAGCATGATGACACACGCAGAGACGCACCCACAGCTATACACATACATGTCCACACACACGCATCCACATAAATGCACACACATGCAAACACCCGATTCTACAATACTACGGAAACTGCTAATCGTCATGGCATGGCCCAGAACGTAGGCTGATCTGGGAGGCCCACTGGTGCCTGTACGAGTAGAACTGCAAACTGCGCTGTTCGTCGCGTGAACGGTCTAGATGGTAGGCCAATCTGAAAGGCCTACCGATGCTATATGATGTATGGACATTTTCTCCGTGCTCACCTTTCGTCGTACGCTCGATTTTGTTTATGTGGAGACCAACCGTACTGCTCTATGCGACCATACCACCCTATGTGCCCGTGCGCTACCATGCACTACAGTGCACCCGCAACCTGCAGTAGCGCTCTCTCTCCTTCTCCGCCCTCCTCTCCCTCCTCTCTCTCTCCTCCATCTCTCTCCTCTCTCCTCTCTATCACCTGTTTCTCCTCTCTCTCCTATCTCCTATCTCCTCTCTCCTCTCTCCTCTCTCCTATCTCCTCTCTCCTCTCTCTCCTCTCTCTCCTCTCTCTCCTCTCTCTCCTGTCTTTTTTCTCGCTCTCTCTCTCCCCACTCTCTCCTGTGTCTCCCCTAGCAATGTGATGAACTTGTAATTTGTAAACTTGGTGCTTCTTGGTGCGCTGTGCCTCGTTGTGAATTGGTGCAACCGTGAATTGGTGCTATTTGAATTGTGCTGCTTTGGTGCTATGCGTAGTGGTGCGCTCTCTCCTCTCCATCTCTCTCTCCTGCTGCCTCGCTGCTGCTACTGTGCTCAACCCGATGTTGATGTCCCTCTCCCGTTCACTGCAGCTGCCTCTGCCTCTGCCTCTGCCTCTTCCTCCCTAACGCTTGTTGCTGCTGCCTCCCTCCCACACACTGTGGCGGCCTTCCTTCCATTCAATGCCACAGTCTCCTTCCCACTCACCGCCGCCCATCTCTGATCCTGCTGCGACCCTCCTATTGATGCTGCTGCCACCCACCCACTAGACGCGCTGTGCGCCCGCCCGGTCATTCAACATGAGCTTTCCTGCGCATTCTGCTGCCTGCCTTGCTGCCACAAGAAGGGAAGGGGGAACCAGCATTGCGTACGTTGGGATGAAAACATTGAAAAGTACTTTTTTCTTTTTTTGGTCACAGTCTGGTTGCTTATCACCGCCATTCATCAAGCACCAGTTTATGACAGAGAAAGAGAAAAAGGAGAGAAAGGGAAGTACAGACGAAAAGACACGCAGAGCAACACCGTATCCCTTCGGCACTAGCCACCAGACGAAGGGGAGGCAGTCAGTCTAGCTTCTGGGCCTACATCCCCAAAGCGCTATTGACTCTATTATGTGGACTTTTTCTTGTCTCATTTGTGTGATTGCTGTCGAAATCAGACACACACACACACACCTGTCTCTTATACACATCTAGATGTGTATAAGAGACAGACCACCAGCTGATGGACATTTATCTGGGCTTGCATTGTTGACAACTGTCTTCACGATCTGGGTTCGTTGCACTTCAGTTCCTTTATCAGTGTGGGCGCCAGTTCTAGTTTTCAGTGTGAGACTGGGCGCCAGATTTCAGCATCCTATTTTATCCTGTAGTGCAGTTCGAGTGCCAGTTCCTTTCAGGTTGAGCTTGGATGCCAGCTTCCAGTTTGGGAGGCTCACTTCAGTTGGGCGCCAGTCCTTGGCCACACAGCAGTAAGCCCAGCCGTATATATAGCCGGGCCAGCCTCATTTGTGGCACATAGAGTTAGGGGTTGGGGTCTTCACGCTGCTGGGAAGCACTGTTTCCGTTAGAGGAGTAGGCAGAGTAGTAGAGCTAGAGGTTGGAGGGTGGAGACCAGGCTATGGGCAACGTACCTGCAGACTTACCTGGCGCCATAGCTCCTGCTTGTCTTCGGGCGTCACTCACCTGCATCACATCTCCAAGGAGACACCTTAACTCTGGCACCTTCGTGAGACTACGAGAGCATTCTTCTTCTTCTTCGTCTCCCTCCAGCTTCATCACTTCTCTTCCTCCTCCTTCCCTTCTTCTTCCACGAGCGAGCGAGCGAGCGAGAGAGAGAGAGAGGGAGAGAGAGAGAGAGAGAGAGAGAGAGAGAGAGAGAGAGAGAGAGAGAGAGAGAGAGAGAGAGNAGAGAGAGAGAGAGAGAGAGAGAGAGAGAGAGAGAGAGAGAGAGAGAGAGAGAGAGAGAGAAGGTGGGGGAGGCGGAAGGGAGAGGGCAGGAGAGAGGCGGGGAGAGAGGTATTGGTTTGCTCACTCCAACCATTCATGCCTTCAGGATGGTTTGCTTTGGCAGCGTGTCCAATTATGCTATGGAGACAGTTGCCGATGAACTCGGTCATTGCTTTCCATCACAGATCTGACAAGTCCAGAGGGAAATAGAGGGGAGGAAGGCGGTATTGGGTTGTTCGATCTGACTGCCTTGGTGAGTTAGGTTTGCTTTGGCAGTGCACACCATTTCGCTACTGAGATTGTAAGCCGCTGAACACAGTTCTGCAAATATCATGATTCCAACCACTCAGATTGCTCTCGTATGCAGATCTTACCAGTTCATCTTTCCGATGGACTTGCTTTCAACCTTAAGGTGGGCCATTTCTCTGCAGGGCTCAGTTCACATACTCTGACAAATAGAAGCTTGTGTCGTAAGGACTACTAAGGAGATAATATTGATGGTGCATGGTCGCTGTGATCCATATGCTTTACAGGGGGGCTGTCCATCTGTACAGTAAGCAACAGTGGGAAGTTTAGAGTGCAGTGGCTGAATGTGATGACTCTCTTTTTGGTGCTGTTGTCTTTTGTTTATGTTTGTGATATCGAGTGGGAAGTTTAGAGTCTGGTCTCTGAATGTGATGGTTCTCTTTTTGTCTGTGTTTGCAATTCCAGGCTGGAAGACCTTTTGTCTCGTATTTCACATATCGGGATCAGAGGGCGAGGAGACTTCGAGAGGTACCAGATATCTCTTTGTCTTTCTTAGGCCTTCTCTATTTACAGTTGAGGTTCATCATTTTATAATGTTGAAGACTATTTCTGAATTGATATCCATGCGGATGAGATCAGTGCTAATGCAGGAATGACCAAGAATGTCCCATGCTTTTAGACTTGCAGGTTGGCCTGTCCCTTTGCACTCTTCAGCACACATGTTGATTGTACTTGAATGGATACTGAATGAGACTCCTCGTATTTTGAGGCCTGATGATGGTAGAAGACACGAGTGGGGTCAAGATTATAGACCTGAGTACATAGTCACCATGGCATGCTTATCTGCAAGTACTAGAGATTCCCGCTGATGTTCTCGAGTTGCAGAGAACAATTGCAACTAAAGTAAGGCAACGGAATTGCCCTTAGGCATATTGAAAACAATGCATGCTCTTGAAAACGTTAGCAGGCACTATTCAATTTGAGTTTTCCAGCTAGCGTGTCCATGGCGGAATGTTGTATAATGTATTGAATACGATGCAGCTTGTGTTCGATTGTGACTATAACGATTACTACAAACTTAGTACAAAGTAATACGAGCACCTTGTAGAATTTAACGTAATGTTCGATTGCACTGTTGACTCATCACATCCTGGAGCTGGTGGAAACGTAATGTTCACCCCTCTATGGAACCTTAGGGTGCTGCTTTTGCAAATCCCAGGAAACCCCTGGACCTCTTAACATCACACACTGTTTTTCGGACAGCTTCGCTCCCGAAGCACTAAGAAATCATGAGCTGTCATTAACACATTATAAAGTCTATGATTTCCACCAAGAATTTGATTTCCTGGCTGTGCTAGTTCCATGCAAATCAGTGCAGAGAAGCATGTGCCTCTTACTTGAGCAGGTGTTTCTGGAATAGGTCTTCTCCTTATTTCACTATTTGCTTTGAGTCTTCTTTTGCAAAAAACAGGTTGCACAAGTTTGAGGAGCGCGGATCAGACTTTGAGGCACCACCAGCCCATAGGAAACTGGGCATCTTTATTCCCTAGACTTCTCACCCATGCGCTTCCTGTTTATTACTCACACACACGCTACCTCTACCTCGCAGATGGCCAGGATCACCACTAGTTTGTGCATTTTGTGGGTGCCTCCCGCCTGGGCTAAGGGACGCTACACCTGCCAAGGGCCAGCACCTGGGAGACACGGCAGTACCACAGCCATACTGACTCAACCACAGGCATTTCATGCTACCCTTGCCCAACGGGGGGACTCTCCGGCCAAGACAGGCCGGTGGCTTCTTCCTGGTCATAAGATATAACAGTGAACGCCCCCTTATTCATTTTTACTCAGTTTCCAATTGTTTCCTATTGCTACAGTGATGCTACCATTCAAGATCCCCATGCTACGCGGTGCATAGGCCATGAGGACCCGACGCCCCTAGCTTGACCTTAGGACCGCCTAGTGCTTCACCAGCCCCCAGCCAGACCTCCTAAGTGGATCTGCACGGTCACGTTTTTCTACCATTATCCTGTTGCAGTTGTCACGTTTTTCTAGCTACCACACTTAACTGCAATCATACTCGTTCTCAAACACACTTTTCATGCATGTAAACAGCAACGCAGCCTACTGGCGACATGCGCCCACTCAAAACTCAGAGATATGGCTTTCAGATACGAGTTCACTCTCAATTGGCTATGGCGACTTCAGCGCCCAAACATCTCACTGTTCACATACACTGGATCACCCTGGATATCCCACACGCATCACTCTAACACTCGAGCACACACACACACTCACTA